GCCACCTGAAGGGTTTTTTTTTTTTTTTTTTTTATTTCCTACCTCTGTGCCTTTGCTCATTCTATGCCCTTACCTAAAATGTAATTTTCTCAAAATATTCCATATCGTTATACACAAATCTAAAAGAAGTTTGTAGCTCTAGAGTGAGACAGAAATTGGTAAGTATTCTGTCTCAGGTGTCAAAGTGTCTTCTGAGTTTCACTCTTTAATTTCGATATAAACATATGACAATAAAAACAAAGTAAAACGGTAATTTGAACACAGCATCTAAATCTCCAAATTCCAATAGTAAAACCCAAAGAAATATATTGTAAAACTCCTGCATCAGTACTGAAAACTGCAGAAAGATATCATCTACTTGCCTTAGACTTTGAAGAATTTCTGCTACATAGAGAATAAGAATGGGGAAATGGAAAGAAAATACTAAGGGTTTATCTTGAATTTCTTTTTAAAGAAAATAAAAGTATGGGAAAACCCCACTAATGTCCCTTACAGTAGAGGACTGAGGTTGTGAGGAGCATGGAATGCCCAGAAAACATGCAGAGTGTTCTTCCTACAAAGGATCAGTAACATTAAAATGTGACTGTCTGAAGAGACCAGAGATGGTTCATCCCAGGCACAAAGGAGAATAGCAAAAAAAGTCAGACGAAGAAGAGGAAACAACGGGCCAAGCAAAACTAGACCTAAAAGGCTGGCTCCCGATTCCAATTTCACCAAACAGAGAAGAAACTGGACATAGATGAATTTCCACCACTAGGCACCTTTTCCTCTATATTCTATTTGAGCTTCTGTGCCTCTGCTACGTCACATAAATTTACCTTAAAGAGCCTGCCTTCTAGTTTAAGATACAATATATTTAAAAGTAATCAGGCAAAGTGAGTTTGGGTCTAAGTAGAATCCACAGACACTGATTTTGGGCAAATGTCAGGCCCTGATACACTCTCATTTGTTTAAGCAAGAATAAGTGATGGGTAAAAACATGCCCTGATCTATTAATATATTTCATAAAATAAAATGAATAACTGAACTCAAGGGAGAACAGACATTTGTAAATTTGACAGGAAACAGAATTAGACACTTGATAACATCTGCCTTGAGAATACAAAAAAATTCAAGA